TTCTAAGCAATTGTTCAGAGGAGACAAAATATCTGAGGGTTGGCTTTGCAGCCTTACAGCCCGCAAGGCTCTGGAGCCACCCAGGATGAAATACTTGCCCTGGCTTAAACAGGGTGGGTCATGGGGTGTCTCTGATCTGCACCTTGATGGTAGTGAGCTGATGGTGGTTTTAGCCATGACTTGTGCCCTATTTCTCCCAGCTGCTCCACCCCAAAAATCTCCTGTACCATGGACTGCAAATGCAAGGAGGATTGGAGCTGAAATAAATTTTACAACCCTGTGGAGATGACACAAAGACTATTTCTAGCTAGAAACTTTTTTATGCCTCTCTCAACACAGAATAAAGTTAGAGAAAATAGGAACCAAGACAATAAAACTGAATTTTAATCAAGGCTCTTCTGACTTATCCTTCTTTCCCTTCTGAGGTATGGAACAGAATTGTAGGTGGGGTGAGGTAGGGACACACTGCCAACCACGTCAAGCCAGCAGAGTTGCACTGTCTTAGATCAGCTTGTGCATGTCACTTTGCATCTGAATCAAGATGTTTGACTTCAGCTGTGAAAGCAGTATTCAGAAGACACCTGTAAATTAATATAGTGGCTTCATAGCATGACCAACATGAAACTTGCAGCTGAAGTGAAGTACTCAAAGGGTGAAATTAATTATGTGGAGGATAATCTTAGTGGACAAAAGTTGCCCATGAGGAAATTCAAAGACCCCCCTCAGCCAGACCTGCCATACCACCCTGCTAGCTCTTTAATTAGTATTTTGCTTTTGGTTTAAGAATATTAAGGCTTCAATCCAGACTGTAGTGCAGCCACATTCTAGTGCCATAAAAGGAGTCTGTGTTCAACAAGGCGCTGCTGCTGTCCTTGGCCTTAATGAAACCCAACTGTGGGCCCAAGAGCAGTTTATGGAGTTAGGTTTCCCCAGAATATACTTATTGGGTGGATGCTGATGCTCTAATATAAATGAACACACACTTTTCTGCTTCATTCTTCTAGGAGGAGTGAAGAAATGGGGGAGAAGGTAGTAAAATGAGTGTTATAGTATAGGGACCTGAGTTTGTCACAGAAGCAATGCTGACCCCTGACTCTAGCTTGGCACATCTATTTCCCAGCCTGTCTTGCAGAGGAGACCTTTCCAGGGAAACCTTTTAGCCTCAAAGTTTTTAAAATATTTTTTCTCCTCCTCTCCCAGCAGAGGACTTAGAAAATACCTGAGATGCTGCGCAACACGGGTACCCCAAAGAGCTCTCATTCCCACCATCTCTACTGCATGTTGTTGCAATCTCTCTTGTCAGGAAGGATTCCTTCTTCATCTCAAACAAACAAAAAAATCACTCTAAAAGAATGTAAATTTTTCTATAGGAGACAGTAAAAGCTCTAATAGCTTCTACTCTATAGAGCCTGGCACAAAGAGGCCTCAGATTCCTACAAGGTCATGTGTCGCTTTTAAAAATCTCTTGGAAATACAACTCCAGTGCAGTTGTTGCAGGATGTGCAGATGTCTGAGTCAGCTTTTAAGACACTGCTGTGCATTTTATGAAAAGATGAGCAGTGTGTGGCAGTGTAGGAATTGGAGTAGGCAGCAGTTAGTGTGGCTAGCCTGTGCCAAACACTTCGCCGCCCCTGGGCGCAGTGATGCTTGCTAGCTATAATCCTGCCAGCGGTGAGGAAATCTTAGCTTGCAGCCTGAGCAGGCAGAAACATTGCTATGGGTGATCGAGTGAGGAGTGCATGGGAGTAAATTACCTGTGGAATGGCCCCTGCTGTATATGCAGTAGAGCATCTTCTCTCACCTCTTGGGTTTCACAAATGCTTCTGGGAATCTCTTTCCCCCCCCAGAAGACCTGAATGTGTATTTTTAGTGGGTGGAGGGGGAAATTTGGCTAGTGGGCAGATTCCTTCATCATAGCTGTTTGAGATGTCCTTTTCTGTATAGTAGTAAACTGCATTTGGGCAAGAGGAAATTGTCACCTTTCAGAAAGTAAGAGTTCATGGTTAGTGCAAGAGACACAGTAACTGCAAGGCAAATGTGTTTTGGGGTCAGTTCAGTATTTTTTGCACTCTTTGTTTGCAGTAATAGGGAAAGAAAAAGACAATTCTGGCTCCTCCAAATCTGGGTAGCTGGAACATGCAGAGTCTGCAGATGTACACAGTAGTCAGTATGCATGCATGCAAGGATGCAGAAGGCAAAATGCAGCAACTCCCTATAGACCCTGTAAGTCTACTCTTTAAAAAGAACAACCAAGTTTAAGCTGGGTTTCCTCAGCAAGGAAAATGTAGGGAGTTCTGGATGCTCTTTCCTCATGTCAAAATAATCCTCTTTTCAGAAATGATGGCAAGGATCTCCTTGGCTTTAGCTCAGATAGCTGTTACCACGGTCAGAGAGCTGACGTTGCTCTGGCAAGACTACTGAGGAAGGAGCTGAAAGCAAATTTGCTTTTACAGAAACCTTCTGGTTCAGAACCTAAGCACGTGGCAATGTAGAACACAGGAAAACTTGGATGTTAGGATATGACATCTGGGAAGCCAGAGGTGAAGAGATTATACTTCAAACACACTTAGTTGAGAAATACATTTGGACTCTACAACTAGCTAACTTTATGAATAAATTGGTGTGTGTGTGGAAATAAAGCAAATAAGTCTCCTTCATTTCGTTGCGCCTAGTCTTTCCAGCATCTTTGCAAGGAAATGGTAAGTGAATTAAAATAATACATGCATGAGGAGGCATGAGAAGAAAATACCTGCATGCAAAACTAAATTGTAGAAATAATTTTAAAAATTAAATAAACCCTGGTGTTCTCTGGATGAATAATTTGCCTGTTTTCTCCATTTTCCCCACTCTTCATTAAAGTTGCATCTTCAACTACACCAGGCAAAAGCTGAGTTACACCAGTCACCAGCATTCTGTTTATAGCACAAAAGTGAATTCAGAGTGAAACTTTGGTAACTCCAGTAACCAAAAGTAAAATACTTGAAATGAATCCTTGTAAATGACGTGGAGTCCCTGTGGTTACATCCACTGTAGGTGCTGTCTTTCAGGATGCTACTGAGCGTTCTCACTGTTATACTGCCTTAATGCCTGCTGCTCTATAAGTGGGCTAGGTGCCTGGGTGGGTTGAATAATTCTGCTTTCCAGGGGTAGACTGCTATATGAATCCTGCAGGTTTTAGTGTTAGGTCTTGATGCCTTTGTAGATCTGTGCAAATGGCATTTTACTGCTCTTGAAATCTTGCTTGCACATGGTTCTGTCTACTAACAGAGCAAGCATCTTGCTGAAAAGGCACAACTGAACTACCTCCACTTACACTAAGAGTAAAGGGTCCAGAGGATGTGGTAAAGCAAATAGTATATGAGCAACATTTGCTGGAGTTTAAGTGCAAGGCTGAAAACATGGGTTCAGAGCCTTCCCTCTCACACATACCTGTAAGGAGGTGGACACTGAGATGTTGGTTGAACTGAAATAGTATCTGTTACTAAAGCTGCTGTTATGTTGCAAGTAGAAAAGCTGTGGTGGGTTGAGATCATCTGCTGTGCATGAGGGAATTTTTTTTTTTTCTGTGGTTGCTTTAAAAGCAAAACCAAAAAGTGGTAACCCGCAGATGGGGGGATTAAAAAAAGTATGGCTTTAAGACAGTTGGCTCTAGGCTGTTAGGAAATTTTAACTGAATTTAGAATGCGGTCACATTCCTTGCTTTGAGTTTGTGTATGTTAAATTATGTAACTTATTACAAGTCTTCCATGACTGGATATTTTCTAGCTTGGAGTCATTGAGCTGGCTATGTATGTATTGTTCTTAAACTGTTTGTGCTGGTCAGAGAGTTGTTCTGAACAATCTGTATCCCTAGGGGCTGATAGGCACACAGAGACTTCTGCAGTTTAGGACTTGTATACATATTCTAGTCCTTCTAGAATAGATTATATTTTCTCCAATTTCTGGTTTGGGTTTTTTTTTAACTTTTTTTACTCCTCCTCCCTTACTTGATGGGCATCTTGAAACAGATAATGACTAAGGGATATACACTTTCTTTCTTTAGTCTTATTAGGCACCTCCTTGAAGATGCTGTCCTAATACCTGCAGTTTATTTTATTTTGTTGCAGATGACTTTAGCAACTAGTGTAGAGAAGGACTGATAGAGAAGTCTGGTAATTGGAATCAGAGTTCAGAAAAAAGAAAATACAGAGGCAGTAGAGGGAAGGGCAGCTGAGAGAGCAACCAAATCTGGAATTAGCTACAGCCATAAAATGGAGATTCCTTTTAGTGATGCTGAAGGTGGCTCTAGTTCTATTTGTTTAGTACTCCATGTAAACAAGAAGGAAAAAACACAAAGAGAAAAATACCAAAACAAAAACAAAACCCCAAACCCCACCGTCAAAACCAACCTCTCCACCAATAAATCCAGTTAAAACCCCAAGGCAGAGTGAGTTCTGGTATACCTCTGCTCTGTCCCATAGGTGGTACAGATGCCCTGGGCCGGGGCTGAGCAGCCACAGGTGTCCACACAGCCCTGTGCTGTGCTGGCCTGAGCTCCTCTCCCAGTCCAGGCACAGCAGAGCCCTGTGAAGTGTGGTGGGGAGTTGCAATTAGTAAATCCCCCATCAATACAGGGAATTCATGCTGGTACCACACTACGTGGAGATGAGGGCACGTCTCCAGACCCTCTTGTCACTGGCACCTCTGCACCACACCTTGCTGTGCAGTTAAGATATGCCAAGGTGCCATTTTAAAAGACACATGGGCAGACATGAACTGAAATCAATGACTGGAGGTCTCGGAGGCTCAGGTTGCTTTGAAAAACCTGACTGCAGGTGCATCTGTGGTGTATATACATCTCCACATGCCTCTTAAAATTGTCAGTGTTCAGAGAGATATTTCACTGAGTGTATATATTCACATTCAGTGTGTGTGTGTATGCGTATTTAATGGACTGTGGCAGAAAAGTATCTCATTGTTCAGAGGACATTTTTTCCTTCTCCTCCCCTCCTTTCTCTCACCTGTTGAAACAAAGCTCTGTCCACTGACATGTGCCTGCAGTGTCCAGTCACCTGCACTGGACTGCCACCTTCTGTGGATGTTTAGGAATTCTCAGCTTCCACAGGGCCAATTGGCTGTATAGGCTTCTCATCCTGAGTGGGAGGGAAGGCTGTAACAGTTCAGAAAAGGAATGTAACTAGGAGTGTGATAGACAGAAACCAGATCAACTCTTTCAGGATTCTTTAGTACTAATCATAGAAGCATAGAATGGGTCAGAGGAGACCCTTATAGATCAGTTAGTTCCAGCCCCCCTGCCATGGGCAGGACACCTCCCTCTAGACCAGGCTGCTCAAAGCCCCATCCAACCTGGCCTTGAATACTTCCAGGGAGGGGGCAGCCACAGCTTCTCTGGGCAACCTGTGCTAATGTCTCATGGCTCTCATAATAAACATCTTTATGTCCAATCTAAATCTACCCCCTTCCAGTTTAAAACCATTGCCCCTTGTCGTAGTAAAATTCTCCTTCCATCTTATAAGTGCCCTTTAAGTATTTCAAAGCTTCAATCAGGTCTCCCTGGGGACTTCTCTATGCTGAATAACCTCAACCCTCTCAGCCTTATCTTCAGAGGAAGGATGTGTCATCACTGACCATTTTTGTGGTCCTCCTCTGCACCTACTCTAACAGTTCCATGTCTGTCATGTGCTAGAAGGAAGCTGTTGTAGATGCCATCTACAACGATAAGGTGGGGAAAAAAGCAGCAACCCCCCTAAAGAGTCAACTGCACGGTTGTGTGTGTGGTGTTTTTCGTTTTGGTTTGTATTTTTTTTTTTTTAATATCTATCTGTCTGTCTGTCTGTCTGTCTGTCTATCTATCTATCTATCTATCTATCTATCTTTTTTTTATTTTGAAGGGTAAAATATTCTTCCCCACCTGGAGTAGTTTCTCTCACAGACAAATTGTCAGGAAGTGATGACTGTTCCACCAAACGATCAGTCTCTTGAAAGTAGTGTGTATATCCATGCAATCTTATTTTAGGATTCTCATAAGGGGAGACAGTGTATTGGAGACATTTTTGTAGTACTCATATTGGTAAATATGTCAGTAACCTGCTCTGGATTACATAAAGGCAGCTTTGAGATGAAAATTTCCTACTATCCCTCTCCATTTCTAGAAATAATTAAATTCACTAGAAGGAAAAAATCTGTGCTGATCTCTGCCTTTACATTGCTTATACTTGTATTGAACTCAAAACAAAAGCAAATTGTTTGATTTCATGAGAACTGAAATCTATTGCTGTGTGGTTTCACTGCTCACTCAGGATTCAGTTTTAGTCAACTGGTGAAATACTGCTGTCAATTTAGACTTCAAAAAGACAAAATTGGCATGAGCTGGCTCTTGGGGGGCCTGACTTCCAAGTTCATACAAAAGTATGAGAAATGTGGTTTCATGACATCAGTTGCTTTGTACTTTTCCACTTCTACTGTCTCTTCTATTTTCCTCTTTATCTGCATTACCCTGGTGGGCACAGTTCCTGGTGAAGAAGGGACAAGATGTCAAGAATAAAAATACTTGGGGGTGTTGGTTGATGAGACGCTCAACACGGCCTATCAATGTACATTTGCAGCCCAGAAAGCCAACCATATCCAGGGCTGCATCAAAAGAAGCATGATCAGCAGGTCCAGGGAGATGATTCTCCCCTTTTACTCTGCTTTTGCGAGACCCCACCTGAGTACTGAGTTCAGCTCTAAGGCCCTCAACATAAGAAGGACATGGACCTGTTGGAGCAAGTCCAGAGGAGACCACGAAGATGATCAGGTGGCTGGAGCCACCTCCCCTGTGAGGACAGGCTGAGAGAGTTGGGGTTGTTCAGCCTGGAGAAGAGAAGGCTCTGCAGAGACCTTATAGTGGCCTTCCAGTACATAAAGGGGACCTACAAGAACGCTAGGGAAGGAATCTTTATCAAAAAGTGTAGTGATAGGATGAAATATAATTACTTTAAACCAAGAGAAGGTAGATCTAGATCAGATAGAAAGAAGAAATTATTTGCTGTGTGGGCGTTGAGGCACTGGCACAGGTTGCCCAGAGCAGCTGTGGCTGCCCCCTCCCTGGAAGGGTTCAAGGCCAGGCTGGACGGGGCTTTGAGCACCCTGGTCTGGTGGGAGGTGTCCCTGCCCATGGCAGGGGGGTTGGAACTAGATGATCTTTAAGGTCCCTTCCAACCCAAATGATTCTGTGAAATGCCCTGCTGTAGGGACTGGTACATACATTTGTGGCTGTGTGTTGTGGGTTTTTTTTATTCACCTAACATAAACATTCCATCAAAACACAAAGACAGTAAGTTCATCTGAAACCTACTTATGCAACAGTATCATGCTATCTTCTCTTTCAAAGTCCACAAACACTTGTAAGATAAATGATGGTGACTCACAACTTGGGCAAATCCTCCTATGCAGTTGCTTGCCCTCTTTCTTGTCTATTCACTCTTGCACTTGATTTCTTCACTAGCTGCAAACTGAATCCTTGGGTACTGTGCAGCGCTGATGTTGTGACTGTGTGCTGCTCAGCACAATGGGACTCCTTGCCTTCCTCATATGGAGTTTTTTAGCTGCTATTACATGCTGTCAGTTTGTAAACGGTGACCACTCAGAATCTGAAAAGTTACCTAGGGTTTCATTTTTGGTGTGACTAGTATGCTGAATGTCTTGTCTTTTCTCTTACTCAGCTGACATTTTGAGGCAGTGTGATTATTTGTTTTCAGCCTAGTGTTCATTCTTCAAAGCTTTTGGTGTGTTGGTTTAAGGACTAAAGAAAATCAAAAAGATAAAGAGTAGAAATAGAGACAAAACTACTCAGTGAATAAATTAGTTGGAGATGCCTTTTGGTTTACTTAGTCTTAGCCTCATTTCTCATTTTGCAGTTTAAGTGCACCCCAGCTGGCAGTCAGCAAAAGCAAGTGGAGTTACGGAGCCAAAACATTTTAACTGGGAAACTCCTCAATCTGTATTTTTCTTCTTCAACAAGCTGCCACTTACGACAAAGGAAAAACGCCAAACCCGTATTGTTTCTTTTTCATTTTTCCCATGTCCACGTCATCTGAAGCAACTGTAAAAGACCTTAACCAAATAGCTGTAGCCCACATACTGCAGTTTTAGCACTTTCCTAGTACAAGGCAGAAAACTTGATCTCTTACCTATGTGGAATCTCTTGGTATCCTGTCTGAACGTGCTGAGATTCAGCTATGCTGCTGCGAGGATCCCCTGCCTTGAATAAGGAAGTGCTGAAGCCGGGCAGGATGTGCAGCAATGACTCAGACGTCGAGGGCTGTGTTTCTTGACTAGCTGAGGAATAAAAGGAATTATTGATGACGCTAACTGTAGCGTGCTCAGATGACGTAAGGACTTTCTAGCTGCCACTTTACCAATAGTCAGAGCTCAGGAACATTCAATATTCCACCTTTCATCTTTTCCCAAGCCTTAGCTGCTTATGATAATGCAATGTTCTGGTATTGGAGTCCTTTCTAGGAGGACTACCTACCTTTTGTCTGATAAAACATACATCCTTGTCAAGAAGCATTTCTTTGTATGAATGTTTCACTTTAAGTTGTTCAGAATAAGGATTTTGGTTATGCTTCTGAAAGAACTCTTTCTTCTTAGCTCAAGCAGGCACTTGAGACTTTGCTTGATTCTTTCCATTAGGAAAAGAAAATTATTAAAAAAAAAAAACCCAAACAAACACAAAACCACCATGTCTCTTCTTACAATTAGTTTTGACTGACATTCATGTATTTAGTGTCCTATACACCTGAACACAGAGACTACCAATTGAAGTTTCTAAACATTCCTTTCCAAACTCTACATTGTCAAAAAAGCTTTGTCTTTTTTATCTAGTCTGCAATCAAGCATTGTGGTTTCATTGACTCTCTGCTTTTGATGCACAGGTACTGAGCAATATTTACCCCTTATCTTTTCAGCCAGCCATGATAAAAGCCTTTCTTTTTCTCATCGAAACAGCTCTTGCTTGCATCTTGATGAGTTGTTGACTTGGATGTGGGTCCCTGGCATGCTCTACCATGTCATTTCATAAAGGAATTTAAGTTTTCTTTCTACGAGCGTTTGCCAGCATGGCCACTGCTTCACTGAGGTTTTGTTGCACTTAGTTTCATAATTGCACAATTCAGCACTCACACAACAGAAATGGAAAAATATATTAGGTGAATTCTATTCAACTCTCATCTTTAAACTACCGGTTTCTGGGTAGCCTCTCTTGCATTGAATTGAGTCCTTCTGACATCTACCTTTGTTTATTTTAAGAAGAGTGTGTCTGTATACACCTATAATGCAGTGTTAGTGTTGAACTTTTCATTACATAAACTTGTCATAAAAGGCATACCAATTGATTTAAAATAATTAGTATTCCAAACAATGTCCTCATTCTTCTCAACTCCTCCTCTGCTTGAGTTAGAGCTAGCTATTTAATGATGCTGAATTAATTTAAATATGTCTATGTACAAGACATATTTCTATGTCTTTCTGCATATAGAAAAAAGTTGCTTAAACTTTAGAGTAAGCCTGAATTTTTTAGTATTAAGCCAGAAGTTAAATAATTGAATAAACTCTAGGAAATAATGTTTCGTTGTGCTAGAAAACAAACAACCCCCCACACACTCTACTTAATGTTTTGAGAAGTAACACTTGTGAAATTAGTCAGCTTCATGCTAGTATTTCAGCAATATGCAGTTTTTCACTCAAATGATGCTGTAATGGAATTGTTCATTCACTCCTGTGACAGTGGTGATCCTGAGTATTTTTTGAGGCAGTTCACTTTTGGAAAGCTTTGAATGCCTGATGCAACTCACATTAGATGAGTGGTAAGACGGTGCAGAGGAAAATATTTCTGAGTTCACAGAATGTGTTCTCAGTCTGGCACTGAAGCACAGAAGTTGAAGGCTTCCCAGACCAAAATTCCCGATGAAGTACCAAAACCATCTATGGCTGCACTAATGTTATGAGAAAGTTGTATTGGGTTTTTTTCCCCATGCTCTTCTGAAAGCTCATTTTTTAATAGCATACTACTCTGAGAGCTCCTCTTGCATCAAAGCAGAAGTATTGTCCAAGTTAACACAACTGTTCGAATCTGACTCACAGGTGCTATGTCCAACTCCAAGCAAGAGAAAATTGCTTCATAACCTCGTTCAAGAATTTGAAGGTGTAGCCTTAATGCTTCATATGCTAATTCCTTCTTCACATGCTTGGAACAGGTCTCTAAGATATTATGTAGCGCAGCCTAAATTTAAATCATCAGCTGAGGTAATTTCTCAGTGTGTCCAGAGATTTGAATAGCTTTTTTCAGTACATACCTTTAAAGTTCTGTGTCACTAAATACTCCATGTTTTTCTTGCATTTGGTCTTCAAAGTGCACTGGCATGGTGATTTAAGTACCATCTAGCAAAAAAATGAGAGTAGAAAGGCTGTTGTACTCCAGCTTTGTGTCTAGGTATCCTCTGTCTTCCTTTCCATCTTTATTCTCACCTTATTGCTGGTCCTCCCATCTTGCAGAAGGAGGTAGAGGATCTGGATTACCAATCCCTTATTCCAAAACTGCTCAGTGTACAAAAATACAGGAGTCACAAACATGTGTCTTCTAATTGTCTGAAGTGAAGGTGGTGTATCTGGAGGTCATGGCCACACAGCTACTACTCAATTTGATTTTCAGTGATAAAGACAAATAAATCATGCTGATTTGTGATGATGGCTCACCAGGATAAACCACACCAATATGTACAGGGTGTGTAGTGGTTTTTTTATTTTTTTTTTTTTCCCCCAAGCTTACAAATTGCTCATGTGACAGAAGTGAGGTACTGTGACTGCTTAGCGTTGTACTGCACTACACTGAGAGTAGTTAAATATGAAATAAAATAAGGACCTGGCAGCAGTGCAATACTGACTTATAATTGTTTATTTTGACAGATAAAAGTCTGAATGATTTTTTTTCTTTTTATCTTTCCTGTTTTTCCAACTTAGTCCTGTTAAACTTAGCATGGGTTGAGTGACTTGAAGGAAATTGCTGCTGTTACGGCTATGCAATTTGTTCATGTTCTCTCAAAATCTAGCCATAACCTTCCCAGAATCACAAAATGGTTGAGGTTGGAAGGAACCTCTGGAGGTGATACGATCCAACCCACCTGCTCAAGCAGGGACAGCTGCTTGATCTTCAGACAGAGGCTCCTGTGTGTGTTTGTGCCCATTGCCTCTGGTCCTGTCACTGGGCCACTACTGAAGACAGCCTGGCTCCATTCCCTTTTCAGCCTCCCTTGAGGTATTTATATACATTGATGAGATCCCCCCCAAGCCTTCTCTTCTCCAGGCTGAACAGTCTCAGCTCTCTCAGCCTTTCCTTATCAAAGATAAACTCCAGTATCTTCATTATCTTTGTGGCTCTTCGTTGTACTCTCTCCAGCAGATTTCTCTCTCTTGTATAGGGGAGCCCAGAACTTGAGCCATCACTCCAGGTGTGCCACCACCAGTGCTGAGTAGAGGGGAAGGATCACCTCCCTTGACCTGCTGGCTAATACTTCGCCTAATGCAGCCCAGGATACCATTAGCTGCCCTTGCCACAAATGCATGCTGCTGGCTCATGTTCAACTTGTTGCTCACCAGCACTCCCCTAGGGTCCTTTCTGCAAAGCTGTTTTCAAGCCAGGTGACCCCCAGCATGTACTCCTGCATGGGGTTGTTCCTCCTCAGGTGCAGAGCTTTGCACCTCTCCTTGTTGAACTTCATGAGGTTCCTGTCAGCCCATTTTCCCATCCTGTTGAAGCCCCTCTTGATGACAGCATGACCCTCTGGTGTATCAGCCATGCCTCCCAGTTTTATGCCATCAGCAAACCTGCTGAAGATGGGCTCTGACCAGTCATCCATATCATTATTGAAGGTCTTGGACATGACTGGACCCAGTACTGACCCCTAGGATACACTGCTAGTTACAAGCCTCCAACTAGGCTGCATTACTGATCGTTGCCCTCTGGGCCAGGCTGTTCAGCCAGATTTCAATCCACCTCACTGTCTGCTCGTCCAGCCCGTACTTCATCAGCTTGTCTACGAGGACCCTTATGGGAGATGGTGTCAAAAGTCAGAGCAGACAATGTCCACTGCTCTCCCCTTGCCTACCAAGATGGTCACTTCATTGGGAGAAATGTATCAAGTTGGTCAAGCTTTATTTACCTTTGGTGAAGCCATGCTGACTACTTCTGCTGACTTTCTTGTCCTCCATGCACCTGGAAATGATTTCCAAGATTGTCTGCTCTATTGCTTTCCCAGAGATCAAGGTATCTGTCATGGCTTGAGCCCAGAAGGCAACTGAACACCACCCAGTTGCTCGCTCACACCTTCCCCCTCAGGAATGGAAAAGAGAAAATAAATCAAAAGGCTTGGAAATCAAAATAAGGACGGGGGGGACGACTCACCCATTATGGTTAAAAAAGGCAAAAGACAGACTCAGTAGGGGAAGAAACAGAACATCAATTTAATTCAAACACTAGCACTGCCAACACTTAACAGAGTAGGACAGTGAGAAGCATTACCACATCTTAAAAACACCTTCTCACCACTCCTTCCTTCCTCCCTGGGTTCAGCTTCTCTCCTGATGTCTCCACCTCCTCCCCCCAGTGGTGCAGGGGGCAGGTAATGGCAGGGTGTGGTCAGTCCTGCTGCTTCTTCCTCCTAAGGGGGAGGATTCTTTGCATTCTTCCCCTGTTCTACATGGTGTCCCTCTAGCAGGAGACAGACCTCCATGAACTTTCTCTGACTCGAATACTTCCCATGGGAAGCAGCACTTCTTGACCTGCTCCACCATGGGTGTCTCTCATGTGTTGTAACCCTCCCAATGCCAAACTGTAAGAGTGGGGGCTGCTTCTTCCCTGAGTTCCAGCCTACTTCAGGCACAGACACTTGCTCTGGTCTGGGGTCCTCCATGGGCTGCAGGTTGGCCTCTGTTCCACTACAGACCTCCATGGGTGGAGGGGATCTCACCATGGGCTGCAGGGGATGGTGTCTCTGCACAAGCATGCCTCTCCTTCCTCTTCCTTTCTTCCACTGACCTCAGTGTTTGCATAGGTGTCCTACTTGCAACTCTTCCACCCAACTCCAACTCTTCCTCCCCGATTCCCCTTCTAAAATATGTTATTGCAGAGGTGCAGCCACTGTCATTAATTGGATAAGCCCTGGACAGAGGTGTTTCTGATTTGGAGCTGGGGGATCTTCGAGAAGCTTCTCAC